GTTTTTCGATTCTTTAGATTCTCAGTTTTTCGATATTTCAGTTTTAGGATTTTTCCATTTTTGACTTCTGGATTTTTCGTTGTCGACTTTTTACTTTTTCAATTTTTAAATTTTAGATTTTTCGATTTCTCGATTTTTCATTTCAGCTCTTCCATATTTCAATTTTTCAAATCTTTGGATTTCTTAATCTTTCGATTTTTCGACTTCCCGGTTTTAGATTTTCTGTTTTTCGATTGCCATTTTTTCAATTTTTCGGTTTTTAAATTTTAGATGTTTCAGTTTTTTAATATTTTAATTTTTCAATTATTAAAATTTTAGATTTTTCGATTTCTCAATTTTTCATTTCAGTTCTTCGATATTTCAGGTTTTCAAGTTTTCCAATTTTTCAAATGTTTTGATTTCTTAATCAATCGATTTTTTGACTTCCCGGTTTTAGATTTTCTGTTTTTCAATTGTCGTTTTTTCAAATCTTCGATTTTTCAATTAATCGATGTTTTCATTTTCCCATTTCTTGACTTTCGAGGGTTTCGATATTCCTGTTCTTAAATTCTTGAATTTTTCGATTTTTCAGGTTTTTGATTTTTGATTTTTCAATTTTTTTAAGGTTTCAATTTTTCGACTTCACTTTTTGGATTTTTCTATTGCTCAATTTTTCGACTTTTTAGGTTCTCAGTTTTTGGACATTTTAGTTTCCGGAGGTTTCAGGTTTTCCATTTTTCAGTTTTTCTTTCATTTTTTAGTTTTTCGATATTTCAGTTTTGGGATTTTTCAAAATTTCGATTCTTCGACTTTTCGATTTTTGACTCCGGGATTTTTCGATGTGTCGATTTTTTTACTTTTTCGAGTTTTAAATTTTAGATTTTTTAATTGTTAAAATTTTAGATTTTTCGATTTCTCGATTTTTCATTTCAGTTCTTTGATATTTCAATTTTTCAAGTTTTCGAATTTTTCAAATATTTCGATTTCTTAATCTTTTGATTTTTCGACTTCCCGGTTTTAGATTTTCTGTTTTTCAATTGTCATTTTGCCAATTTTCGATTTTTTAATTTTTCAAAATTTTCGATTTATCAGCATTTCGACGTTTCGGTTTTTTGCTTGTTCAATTTCTCGATTTTTGGATTTTTCAATTTTTACGAATTAGTTTTTCTAATGTTAAATTTTTGATTTTTCGACTTTTGGATTTTGGTCCATTTCGATTTCTCAATATTTCGAAGTTTTAATTTTACAGATTTTCAATGTTTCTACTTTTCGGCTTCTCGATTTTTTAACTTTTGGATTTCTTGATTTTTCGATCTTTCGTTGTTCTCATTTCTCGATTTTCAATTTTTTGATTTTTGAGTTTTTTTAAATTTTCAGTTTTTTCATTTTTCGACTTGATGATTTTTCGTCTTTTCATTTCTTGATTTCTCAATTTTCAGTGTTTTAGTTTGGAATTTTTCGATTTTTCGCTTCATCAATTTTTCGAAACCCCGATTTTTTTTTCGATTTCTCAAATTTAGGATTTTTTTTTTTATTTTTCGGTTTCTCGATTTTTCAGTTAATCGTTATTTTGAATTCCCCATTTCTTGACCTTCGAGTGTTTCGATTTTCCTGTTCAATTCTTTAATTTTTTGATTTTTCTATTTTTCGATTTTTTAAGGTTTCTATTTTTCGACTTCACTTTTTTGATTTTTCGATTTTTCACTTTTTAGATATTTCTGTTTTAGGATTTTTCAATATTTCAATTCCTCGGCTTTTCTATTTTTGCTTCTGAGTTTTTCGATGTGTCTACCTTTTTACTTTTTCGATTTTTCAATTTTTGGATTTTTAATTTTAGATTTTTCAATCTTTTGATATTTTAATTTTTCAGTATTTCTTAATCTTTCTATTGTTTGTCGATTTCTCTATTTTTCGACTTCATTACTTTCCGATTTCTCGTTTTTTGGAAATTTAAATTTCTCAATTTTTCAATTTTTCGAATTTTTAAGTTTTTTGATTTCTCGATTTATCGAGATTTGGAATATTTCGATATTTTGATTGTCAATTTCCCAATTTAAAAATCCAGAACGTGAAAAATCCAAAAGTCAAAATACTAAAAAATCCCAAAATTGAAAAATTGAAGAATCGAAAAACTGAGAAAACTCACAAAATTGAACGAAATATCCAAAAATTGAAAAATTGGGAAATCGAAAAGCCGAAAAATTGCAAACCTAAACAATCGAAAAATTGAAAAATCTGGAGCCTGAAAAATCGAAAAATTGAGGAACTGAAAAACTGAAAAATCGAAACCTTGGCAAGTCGAAAATGGGAAAATCAAAAAATAGATTAATTGCGAAATCGGAAAAATGAAAATTCAGAGACGTCAAAACTTAAAAATTTTAAAAATTGGAAAATTGAAAAACGGATAATTCAAAAATCGAAAAGCCGAAAAGTAACAAAAAAACGAAAAACCGACAAATCGAAAAATCGAAATACCGAAAAATTCAAAAACTGAAACATTCGAATCTCGATAAATCGAGTTCTCAAAAAATTGAAAAATCGAAAAATAAAAAATTCGGAAAAAAGAAAAATTAGAATATACAAGAACTGAAAACTCGAAAAATTCAGAATCGAAATATATATAAAACAGTCGAAAAGTGAAAAATCTTAAGTTTAAAAAACGAAAAGCTGAAAATCCAAAAAATAAAAAATCGAAAAGTCGAAAAATAAATATATCGAAAAATCCCAAAACTGAAACAAAGAATTGAAGAACTGAAAAATCGAAACTGTGAATTCGAGAAAAGTGAAAATAAAAAAATATTAATTGAAAAATCATAAAATAGAAATGCTGAAGAACTGGAAAATCAAAAAATCTAAAATTTAAAACATTGAAAAACGGAGAAATCCAAACATCAAAGAATCAAAAAAGAAAAATTCGAAAATCTAAATCTGAAAAATCGACAAATCGAAACTCCCGAATTTAAAAAAATTGAAAAATCGGATAACTGAAAAATCGAAACATCTTTTCGATTTCCCGTTCTTTGGATCTTTCAATCTCTCAATTTTTCAATTTTTCGAATTTTTAAGTCTTTTGATTTCTCGATTTATCGAGATTTGGATTTTTCGATATTTTGATTGTCAATTTCCCAATTTAAAAATCCAGACCGTGAAAAATCCAAATGTCAAAATACTAAAAAATCCCAAAATTGAAAAATTGAAGAATAGAAAAACTGAGAAAACTCACAAAATTGAACGAAATATCCAAAAATTGGGAAATTTAAAAATTGAAAAATTGGGAAATCGAAAAGCCGAAAAATTGCAAACTTAAAGAAACGAAAAATTGAAAAATCTGGAGCCCGAAAAATCGAAAAATTGAGGAGCTGAAAAACTGAAAAATCGAAACCTTGGTAAACTCGAAAATGGGAAAATCAAAAAATAGATTAATTGAGAAATCGGAAAACTGAAAATTCAAAAATGTCAAAAAACGAAAAACTGAAAACTCGAAAAATTCAGAATCGAAATACATATAAAACAGTCGAACATTGAAAAATCTTAAGTTTAAAAAACGAAAAACTGAAAATCCAAAAAATAAAAAATCGAAAAGTCGAAAATAGAAATATTGAAAAATCCCAAAACTGAAACAAAGAATTGAAGAACTGAAAAATCGAAACTGCGAATTCGAGAAAAGGGAAAATAAAAAAAAATATTAATTGAAAAATCGTAAAATAGAAATGCTGAAGAACTGGAAAATCAAAAAATCCGGAAATCGAAAAATCTAAAATTTAAAACATTGAAAAACGGAGAAATCCAAACATCAAAGAATCAAAAAAGAAAATTCGAAAATCTAAAGTTGAAAAATCGAAAAACTGAAAAATCTTCAAATCGAAACATCTTTTCGATTTCTCGTTTTTTGTATCATTCAATCTCTCAATTTTTCAATTTTTCGAATTTTTAAGTTTTTTGATTTCTCGATTTATCGAGATTTGGATTTTTCGATTTTGACCTATTTCGGTTTCTCGATTGTTTCAATTTTCCAGTTTTTCGATGTTTCGATTTTTAAGTTATCCGATTTTTTTAATTTGGGAGTTTAGATTTCTCGATTTTTCGTTATTCGGTTTTAAAATTTTAGATTTTTTCGATTTTCAGTTCTTTAGATTTTCTGTGAAAACCGGAAGTTCAAAAAACGAAAAATTAAAAACCTAAAGAATCGAAAAATTGAAAAATCTGGAGCCTTGAAAAATCGAAAAATTGAGGAACTGAAAAACTGAAAAATCGAAACCTTGGCAAGCCGAAAATTTAAAAAATTGAAAAATTGAAAAATCGGATAATTCAAAAATCGAAAAGCCGAAAAGTAAAAAAACGAAAAACCGAAAAATTCAAAAACTGAAACATCCGAATCTCGATAAATCGAGTTCTCAAAAAATTGAAAAATCGAAAAATAAAAAATTCGCAAAAAAGAAAAATTAAAATATACAAGAACTGAAAATCGAAAAATTGTAAAAAAGAAAAATTGGAAGAATCGAAAATTTAATAGAACTGAAACCTCGAGAAATCGAAAAACCTAGAATTTTAAAATGTGAAAAATGAAAAGCTAAAAATTCAGAATCGAAATATATATAAAACAGTCCAAAAATTGAAAAATCTTAAGTTTAAAAAACGAAAAACTGAAAATCCAAAAAATAAATAAATCAGCCTCTATGTCGCATCTATATTAATCTAGGTTATAACGTTCTAAATTGTGGATATACGTACCTTGAGTTTGGAGTTATGCAAGGAGTACAGGGAGATCTGCGACTTTTTCGTAAATACAGCAATGATATCTTGTACGCAATTTTATTAATACTAACCTTGACAAATGCATTTCTGAACAGGATTTCACACCAACCAGTTCGTGACAGGAAGCTGAAAAAGAGGAAATTAACAGGACATTAGGAAAACGACACAGGATTAGTTAAAACAGGCCAGGAAAAATGTTTTGGAGCGATGCAGGGACACCGAGAGGACCTCAATCTTTCGTAAATAAAGCCAACGATGTACAAGGCTTCTTGTAAAAATAATCCATTTATTAATAAAATCTCGCTAGTCTACGAGTGATGTTTTAAAATGAATGTACAAAGATTAAAACCACTTCAACAACAAATATCATTAGAGGACGTCTACAATTCCCTTATTTAGGCTGTCTAAACAGCACCACTTAAAAAATGTAAAAAATATACATATTTACACTGAGTACGGAAATACTACCATGATTCGCTACCTAGGAATGACTGTTCCAGTCCATAAAATTTCAATAATACTTAAAACAACCATATTTACACGTAAGTTTCATTAGTTGCTTTATACACTAACACTAATCCATAAAACCTAAAATTAGAAAATCCTTGATTCATAAATAAAATTATACCTAGCCCGTGTGGAGTTATTTCTCCGGCGAACATTCAATCGAGTTTTCGTTCACAATTATCTGTTTTTTCTTTTTAGTCTGAGTTGTGCAGCTGCCGATCACTTCCATCCACCTAAAACAAAATCAAAATAATAATAAGAATAATAACAATGATGATGTGACGTCGTACCGGTTATAAGTGTATTCGGACTCCGCCCTGAAGAAATAAACGTGATTCTTGTATTGGAGCTTGAACACGAAGTCCTTTCCAATCGCGTCGTCTGGAGCAGGCGCCCCCACGGTGTAACCCAGTAGCGGTAGCGACGCCAAAGGAAAATCATCCATGCATCCCTTGTAAAAAAATAGACAGAATGACGTCAAAACGACCCAAAGTTTCTGCCAACCGTTGCTACTTTTGAATTTACGCAACAAATAACCTGATAGTTGATTCTACAACCCAAATATTAAAAATAATAATAATGATGATGACGCGAAACGACACCTCAACCGCCACTAATTCATCTTTCATACTGATGCTAGTGTTTCGGTGCCAACACACGTGCACCTTCAGGTTGCTCCTCTGCGGCTGCGGCTTAGTCTGAGTACCCACGTCGTTCCCACACTGGTCCATAATTTCGTCTGAAGAGCCTACAACGACACGTTATACACCGGTCACGACTTTCCAACCCGACACTCACTGCAGCTTTTTAGGCTCAAATACGTGATTTTCGTGTCCGTCTTATCCCTAGCTAGTTGAATCGCATTTTGCAGATCCTGTTTCCAACGCTCTTTTTCTTCCTGGGAGCTAGCCGCAACCGTGAGAGCCCGATTCCCGCCTGAAACCACATAGTAACTTTGTGTTTATCAGTTGGTACGACTCACCATAAATCACCAGACCGTAGTTGGCCAACTCGCCTTCCGGCTCTTCAATCAAGACACCTCTGAGAGGCATGTGCCCGTGTACTTTGAACTGCAAAGTCGCTTGCGAGCGCGACGTGTACAACAAGATGTCCGAAAACTGAAAACTTACTTAAGTCATGGTTTAAGTCAGTTGGTTTAGTTACCAAGAAGAACATGCGCTGTTGGTACCCCTTTTTGGAATGTTTGAGTAAGCAACCGTGGCGGATGAACTTGCGGCCCGACTGCACTAAATTATCGAAACCAACTAGGTCCCTTTGGAGCTCGCACAGCGTTGCCAGATTTTCCGAGTGCTCGAGTGTCTCGCTCACCGGTTGCATCAAGTCTTTGAGAGTGTCACTAGCTGTCAAACAGTCGGCGCGATCGGGGTGCGACGGCCCGTAGTACCGTAGCAGTCTTTGGAGGAGGTTTTGGTACTGCAGGAGGCGGTGCAGCGGCTTAAGCACGAACGTCGTCAGCGGTAAATAGCAGACCTTTTGGGTCTCGAAGTCGCGGTAGAGCTGCTCGAAGTGAGAGTTTTGTTTAAAGGCGGCGTCAAGTCGTTCCAGGACCAAAATATGGCCGTCAAGGTACTCTTCATAGATCTGTGGATTGTCGGTTAGTTAAGTTAACTTAAGTTAAGTCGGGTTTTACACTTACAGGGAGTAGTGGGGGTAAGTGGGTGAGGAGCACGTCGGCGATTCGTTGGCTGCTGGTGGCTCGGGGGCCCCCCTTGCCGTCCCAACCTTGCAAGCGCTGCTCTAAGTCTTTGACGAGCTGACCGTGCGCCTGCGCCAAAGGCGCGATTAGGGTGAGCAAGATTGAGCATTCGTCGGGTTCTTCTTTACCGACTTCGTCTCTAAACCACTGGAAATAATTATTGGTGAGTTTTAGCATTGGTTAAGTATGTTATAGTTGGACAAACTAAAATATCGAAAAGTTGAACAATTGAACGAAATATCCAAAACTTCGGAAATTAAAAAATTGAAAACCGAAAAGTCAAAAAGCAAAGTCGAAAAATCGCAAACTTAAAAAATCGAAAAATTGAAAAATTGAAAACCTGAAAAATCAACGAATAGAGAAATCGAAACTCGAAAATTTACAATATTGAAAAATTGAACTCGAGAAATCGAAAAATCTAGAAATTTAACAATTGAAAATTTAAAATATGGAAAAGTTGAAAAATTGAAAAATTGAAATATAAAGCAATCGAAAAATTAAAAAATCCAAAGTTCAAAAAACGAAAAACTGAAAATCCAAAAATAAAAAATCGAAAAATCACAAAACTGAAAGAATATCCAAAAATCGAGGAATTAAAAAATTGGAAAATTGAGAACTCGAAAAACCAATAAAGCAAAGTCGAAAATTCGAAGAATTGAAGAACTGAAAAATCGAAACTTTGAGAAGTGGGAAAATCAAAAATAGATTCATTGAGAAGTAGAAAAACTGAAAATTTAGCAAACGTCAAAATTTGAAAAATTGAAAAATAGAAATACTGAAGAACTGAAAAATCTAAAATTTAAAACACTGAACAATTAAAAAATCACAAAATTGAAGAATTGAGAAATTCAAAATTGAAAAATTGAAAAATCGAGAAAGTGAAAAGCCCAAAAGTAAAAAATCGAAAACCGAGAAATCAAAAAATTGAAAAATCGAAAAATTTTAAAAAAGAAAAACTGGAAAATCGAAAATTTAAAAATTCGAAAAATTGAAAAATAGAAGAACTGAAAACTCGAGATATCGAAAAACCTACAATTTTAAAAATTAAGATTTTAAAACACGGAAAAGTTGAAAAATTGAGAAATCGAAGTATAAAACAGTCGAAAATTGAAAAATCTAAACTTGAACAACAAATTGAAAAATTCCGAAAATTGAAAAATTGAAATTCATATAGAAGAACTGAAAACTCGAGAAATCGAAAAACCTAAAATTTTAAAAACTGAAAAGTGAAAATATCGAAAAGTTGAAAAATTGGGAAATCGAAGCATAAAACGGGAAAATTGAAAATCCAAAAAGTAAAAAGTCGAGAAATCGAAGAATCAAAAACTGAAAAATCACAAAATTGAACGGAATATCCAAAAATTAGGAAATTAAAAAATTGAAAAGTCCCAAAAGCAAAGTCGAAAAATCGCAAACTTAAAAAATCGAAAAATTGAAAAATCAAAAACCTGAAAAATCGAAAAACTGAAGAACTGAAAGATCGAAACTTTGGTAAGTGGAGAAATGAGAAAATAAAAATATAGATTAATTGAGAAATCCGAAAAGTGAAAATTCAGAAACGTCAAAATTTGAAAAATTAAAATATCGTAAAATTGGAAAATGGAGAAATTCAAACATCAAAAAATCAAAAACATAAAAATTCGAAAATCTAAAATTTATAAAATCGAAAACTGAAAAATCAACGAATCGTGAAATCGAAACTAGAAAATTTACAAAATTGGAAAATTGAAAAATTGGATAATTCAAAAATTGAAACATCGAAAAATCGAGGAACCGTAAAGCAAAAAAATCGAAAAATCGAAACATCGTAAAATTAAAAACTGAGACATCGAGAAATCAAAAAATCGAGGAGTCGGAAAGTCGAGAAGGTGAAAAATCGAAAAATTGATAAATCGAGAGATTGAACAATCAAAATATCGAAACATCCGAATCTCGATAAATCTAGATCTCAAAAAATTGAAAAATCGAAAATTTGAAAATTCGGAAAATAGAAAAATTAAAATATAGAACAGGAAATTTGAGAAATCGAAAAATCTAGTAATTTAACAATTGAAAATTTAAAATATGGAAAAGTTGAATCAAAAAATTGAAAAATCCAGAAGTCGAAAATTCGAAATACTGAAAAATCACAAAACTGAAAGAAGTATAAAAAAATTGAGAAATTAAAAAATTGGAAAACTGAGAAATCGAAAAACCAAAAAAGTGAAGTCGAAAAATCGAAGAATTGAAGAACTGAAGAATGGAAAGTGAGAAATGGGAAAATCAAAAATAGATTCACTGAGAAATAGGAAAACTGAAAATTTAGCAAACGTCAAAATTTGAAAAATTGAAACAGAAATACTGAAGAACTGAAAAATCTAAAATTTAAAACATTGAACAATAAAAATGTCGCAAAATTGAAGAATTGGGAAATCCAAAAATCAAAAAAACAAAAAATAAACATTCGAAGTTTAAAAATTCACACATAGAAAAACTCAAAAATCGACAAATCGAGAATTCAATCCTCCAGAATTTAAAAAATTGAAAAATCAGATAACTAAAAAATGGAAACATTGAAAAAATGGAAAATCGAGAAATTGAAAAGCTCAAAAGTAAAACAACGAAAAACCGAGAAATCCAAAAATCGAAACATCGAAAAATTCAAAAACTGAGACATCGAGAAATAGAAAAATCAGAGGATCGAAAAATTGAGGAGTCGGAAGCCGAAAAGAACTTAAAAATTGAAAAATTGGGAATCAAAAATTGAAGAACTAAAAAATGGAAACTTTGGGAAATCGAGAAATGGGAAAATCAAAAAATAGATTAATTGAGAAATCCGAAAACTGGAAATTCAGAAACGTTAAAATTTGAAAAATTAAAAAATATTGAAAAACTGGAAAATTGAAAGTTCGGCTAATTCAAAAATCGAAAAGCCGAAAAATGAAAAATCGAAAAGTCGAGAAGTCGAAAAATCGAAAAGTCAAGAAACAGAAATAAGCCAAAATCGAAAAGTAAAAAATTCGGAAAATAGAAAAATTAAAATATAGAACAGGAAACCCGAGAAATCGAAAAATCTAGGAATTTGACAATTGAAAATTTAAAATACGGAAAAGTTGAAAAATTGAAATATAAAACAATCGAAAATTTGAAAAATAAAGTTTAAAAAACGAAAAACTGAAAATCCAAAAATAAAAAATCGAAAAATCCAGAAATCGAAAAATCGAAAAATTGAGAAATCACAAAACTGAAAGAAATCCAAAAATTGAAAAATTAAAAAATTGGAAGATTGAGAAATCGAAAAACCAATAAAGCGAAGTCGAAAAATCGAAGAACTGTAGAACTGAAAAATCGAAACTTTGAGAAACGGGAAAATCAAAAATAGATTTATTGAGAACTACAAAAACTGAAAATTTTGCAAACGTCAAAATTTGAAAAATTGAAAAATAGAAATACTGAAGAACTGAAAAATCTAAAATTTAAAACACTGAACAATTAAAATATCACAAAATTGAAGAATTGGGAAACCCAAAATTGAAAAATTGGAAAATCGAGAAAGTGAAAAGCCCAAAAGTAAAAAATCGAAAAACCGGGAAATCCAAAAATCGAAAGATCGAAAAATTCAAAAACGGAGACATCGAAAAACAGAAAAAGCAGAGGATCGCGAAATTGGGGAGTCGGAAGCCGCAAAGAAAAGTTGAAATGTTAAAAAATGATAAATCGAGAAATCAAAAAATTGAAAAATCCAAAAATTTTAAAAAAGAGAAACTGGAAAATCGAAAATTTAAAAATTCGAAAATTTGAAATATGGAAAAACTGAAAACTCGAGATTTCGAAAAACCTAGAACTTTAAAAATTGGGATTTTTAAAACATGGAAAAGTTGAAAAATTGAGAAATCGAAGTATAAAACAGTCGAAAATTGAAAAATCTAAAGTTTAACAATAAATTGAAAAATTCCAAAATTGAAAAATTGAAATATAGAAGAACTGAAAACTCGAGAAATCGAAAAACCTAAAAGTTTAAAAACTTGAAAGTTAAAATATCGAAAAGTTGAAAAATTGGGAAATCGAAGCATAAAACGGGAATATTGAAAATCCAAAAAGTAAAAAGTCGATAAATCGAAAAATCCCGATCTCGAAGGATCGAAAAAACGAAAAAACACAAAATTGAACGAAATATCCAAAAATTAGGAAATTAAAAAATTGAAAAACCGAAAAGTCAAAAAAGCAAAGTCGCAATGTCAAAAAATCGAAAAATTGAAAAATAAAAAACCTGAAAACTCGAAAAACTGAAGAACTGAAAAGATCGAAACAAATATGGATTAATTGAGAAATCCGAAAACTGAAAATTCAGAAACGTCAAAATTTGAAAACTTAAAAAATATTGAAGGACTGAAAAATCTAAAATTTAAAACATTGAAAAATTAAAATATCGTAAAATTGAAAAATAGAGAAATTCAAACATCAAAAAATCAAAAAAATTAAAATTCGAAAATCTAAAATTTGACAAATCGAGAAATATTGTTAATTGAAAAATCGAAACATCGAAAAATTGGAAAATCAAAAAATTTAAAAAAAATAGAAAATCGAAAATTTTAAATTCCGAAAATTGAAAAATTGAAATACAGAAGAACTGAAAACTCGAGAAATCGAAAAACCTAAAATTTTAAAAACTGAAAAGTTGAAAAATTGGGAAGTCGAAACATAAAACAGGAAAATTGAAAATCCAAGATGTAAAAAGTCTAAAAAGTCGAGAAATCGAAAAATCCGGAACTCGAAGAATCGAAAAACTGAAAAATCACAAAATTGAACGAAACATCCAAAAATTAGGAAATTAAAAAATTGAAAAACCGAAGTCAAAAAGCAAAGTCGAAAAATCGCAAACTTAATAAAAAAACGAAAAATTGAAAAATCAAAAACCTAAAAAATCGAAAAATTGAAGAACTGAAAGGTCGAAACTTTGGGAAGTGGAGAAGTGAGAAAATAAAAATATAGATTAATTGAAAAATCCGGAAACTGAAAATTCAGAATCAAAATTTAAAAAATTAAAAAATATTGAACAACTGAAAAATAGAAAAATCCAAAATTTAAAACATTGAAAAAATAAAATATCGTACAACTGAAAAATGGAGAAATTCAAACATCAAAAAATCAAAAAAATAAAAATTCGAAAATCCAAAATTTAACAAATCGAGAAATTGAACAAAATATTTAACTGAAAAATCGAAACATCGAAAACTTGGAAAATCGAAAAATTAAAAAAAAATAGAAAATCGAAAATTTAAAAATTCCGAAAAGTCAAAAAATCGAAGAATTGAAAAATCAAAAACTGAAGAACTGAAAGATCGAAACTTTGGGAAGTGGAGAAATGAGAAAATAAAACTATAGATTGAAAATTCAGAAACGTCAAAATTTGAAAAATTGAAAAATATTGAAGAACTGAAAAACAGAAAAATCTAAAATTTAAAACATTGAAAAATTAAAACTTCGTAAAATTGAAAAATGGAGAAATTCAAACACCAAAAAATCAAAAAAAAAATTCGAAAATCTAAAATTTAAAAATCGAAAAACTGAAAAATCAAAGAATAAAGAAATCGAAATTCGAAAATTTACAAAATTGGAAAATTGAAAAATTGGATAATTCAAAAATCGAAACATCGAAAAATCGTAAAGCAAAAAATTCAAAAACAGAAAATTTAAAAATTCGGAAAATAGAAAAATTAAAATATAGAAATCGAAAAATCTAGAAATTGGAACATAAAACAATCGAAAAATTGAAAAATCCAGAAGTCGAAGAATCGAAATATTGAAAAATTGCAAAACTGAAGGACATATCCAAAAATTGAGGAATTAAAAAATTGGAAAATTGAGAAATCGTAAAACCAATAAAGCGAAGTCGAAGAATCGAAGAATTGAAGAACTGAAAAATCGAAACTTTGAGAAAGGGGAAAATCAAAAATAGATTCATTGAGAAATACAAAAACTGAAAATTTAGGAAACGTCAAAATTTGAAAAATTGAAAAATAGAATACTGAAGAACTGAAAAATTTTAAATTTAAATCACTCAACAATTAAAATATCACAAAATTGAAGAATTGGGAAATCCAAAAGTAAAAAATCGAAAAACCGAGAAATCCACAAATCGAAACATCGAAAAACTCAAAAACTGAGACATCGAGAAATAGAAAATAAACTGAAAAATTCCGAAAATTGAAAAATTGAAATATAGAACAACTGAAAACTCGAGAAATCGGAAAACCTAAAGTTTTAAAAACTGAAAAGTTAAAATATCGTAAAGTTGAAAAATTGGGAAATCGAAGCATAAAACAGGAAAATTGAAAATCGAAAAATCCGGAACTGGAAGAATCGGAAAACTGAAAAATCACAAAATTGAACGAAACATCCAAAAATTAGGAAATTAAAAAACTGAAAAACCGAAAAGTCAAAAAGAAAAAGTCGAAAAATTTCAAACTTAAAAAATCGAAAAATTGAAAAATCAGAAACCTGAAAAATCGAAAAACTGAAGAACTGAAAGAGCGAAACTTGGGGAAGTGGAGAAATGAGAAAATAAAAATATAAATAAAGATATAAAATTTGAAAAATTAAAAAATATTGAAGAACTGAAAAATAGAAAAATCTAAGATTTAAAACATTGAAAAATTAAAAAAATAAAAATTCGAAAATCCAAAATTTAACAAATCGAGAAATTGAACAATTGGTTAACTGAGTTAACCGAAAAATCGAAACATCGAAATATTAAAAAAAAAATTAGAAAATCGAAAATTTAAAAATTGAAATTTTAAAACATGGAAACGTTGAAAAATTGAGAAATATAAGTATAAAACAGTCGAAAATATGAAAAATCTAAAGTTTAACAATAAATTGAAAATCGAAAATATAAAAATTCGAGAAATCAAAAAAATCCAGCATTCCAAAAATCGAAAAGTGAAAAAATCGAAATACGTACTGAAAAATCTTATAACTGAAAAAAATATACAAAAAATTGAGAAATTAAAAAATTGGAAAATTGAGAAATCGAAAAACTAAAAAACCAAAGTCGATAAATCGTAAGCTTAAAAATCGAAAAATCGAAGAATTGAAGACGTGAAAATCGAAACTTTACGAAGTCGAGAATTGGAAAAGTAAAAAAAATTACTTCAAAAATAGGAAAACTGAAAATTTAGAAACGTGCAAATTTGAAAAATTGAAAAATCGAAATATTTAAAAAGCGCAACATTAAAGAAGACAAAAATTGAGAAATCGTATCATTGAAACATTGGAAAATTAAGAAATCGAAAAATAAAAAAATCAAGATATCGAAAATTTGAAGATTGGAAAAATTGAAAAAGCCCAAAATTGGAATATTGAAAAATTGAGAAATCGTAAGCTTAAAAATCGAAAAATTGTAGAATTGAAAAATCGAAACTAGGAAATCGAGAATTGGAAAAGTAAATAAAAATACTTCAGAAATCAGAAAACTGAAAATTTAGAAACGTGAAAATTTGAAAAATCGAAATATTTAAAAAGGGTGAAATTGAAGAAGACAAAAATTGAGAAATCGTATTATTGAACCATCGGAAAATTGAGAAATCGAAAATTTGAAATTTGTATTAGGTTATCCAACTATAATATGGTTTTAGTGTGACGGGGCGCCGGTTAGCACTTACTACATTAATCACGTCCAAGTCTTTCTTGTAAGTCAACTCCGTCATCAAGATTTCTTTGGCGATGTAGTACGTCTTGTCGATTGGGAGTTTCGTCCGTTTTTTCACTTCACCTTCAATCTCGGCAATGATAGTCGTCGTGGTCCCGTTAGTAGTGGTATTGGCGTTAATACTGTTCAAAAGCTGCTCCTTTGCTAGATTTTTAATGGGGCTGATATCGTCAAGCTTGGAATTGTAACTCGCGTTCGCGGACAAGTTGGAAATGTTTCCGTTCACTTCTTTGTACGTCGGGAGCGAACTGTTATAGTACGAATGGTTGTGAATGTAATACGAACCCTCGTTGTCCGACTTATCCTTCTCCTTGGCGTCATCTGCGAAAAAAAATTGTTAGCGAACACGGAACAACGTTCGCGAACAGCAGAACCGCGCTCACCTTATCCCACAAGTACGAAGCGTTAGAAGCAATAAAGGTTAGTATTTAAGCAAATTGTGTTTTATTTCCAATGAAATGATTATTACAGTTTAAGAAACGTCACCAGAATGAACAAAATTGATTGTACACAGCGTGGGTCTTTCTTAAACTACATGATTTTACATGCTTTGAGCATTAATAACAAATCACCGTCGAACAGAAACAACGAAAAGGGAATGATCAATGTTAACATTCTAACCTAACTACATCCCTAGTATTATAAATATCACAAAAACGTAAAAATGGAGAAAATCGTATTATTGACTACAACACTTTCGAATTCTTACAAATGTCAGTTGTTGTTAAAATACATGCGTAATTAGGCCTACTTTCGTACAGGAAAACAAACATCACATACAAGGAAAATAACCGTCTGTACAAAAAGCGTTGTGTTTTGTACTTGTTCGGGAACACAAAGTCGGAATTGTAATTAGACCGTCGTCTTGTACAACAGAATTCGTGTGAAATCGGAAAACCATCCTACGTCTAAGCTCGATTTAAACCATTTCAAAAATCAACAAATGGAAAACATGTTATTTACAATATAAAGACTATTCGACACAACTATAAGCTGAAATAAAACGATCTTGGTTTTAGATTTGATCAGCCACATTAGGATCTACAAGCCCGGCGCATCCACCATTAGTTAGTTCGTTTTAGTACGCTTTAAGCTATATTAGTCAAGCTATCATACGCCTAGAGGGTGATGAACGCTATGAGGGTAAAACGTTTTTTAATGCATCTATTTATGTAGTGTTTCAAGTAGTAGAGAAAATTGGCACTAACTACACACGAAGAGAGGGCCGAAAATTCTGGAATACCGTCCCCGGAAGACTCAAGCTACGCAAATGGTCGTCTAAACAAAATTACTAATTTAATTGTTTTTTCTACCGCGCACGTTTTTTGATTTTCGTTTAAAATTTCCCGTATTTCGGGAGGCGTAAGGACTTCATTAGACATTTCAACCAAATTTAACTTTACAAAAACTCGTTTTTTTGCTTTTATGAGGACGGTAAGCCAGACTATGTACAATTTTTTTCGCGATTGTTGGTGATCGTAAGGTTGAGAGTGTCCTAAGCGCGTGGTCCGTCAAAATTTGGCACTTTCCGAGCAAAACACTACAAAAACCGATGCACCCAAAAACCATCTCGAAAAATATCGCCTTTTGGTAGTAACGAAAAAACAAAAGGCAACTATCACATCCATCCCGGTCGAAATAAACAATATAGAGGATACATAACATCGTAAAATTGAAAATCACACAAACACCCGATTGAAATATATAATTAGAATGTTTGATTCTCTTGTATTAACGACACAAATGTATGTACAAATTATTTTCAGTCTTCGTGGCTTGCACATTTAGAGTGATTGGAGAAGTGAAAAAATCCGACTATTGGATGATTAAACGAGTATTGTGCGCATCGACGAACGCAGACCGGCTCCAATAGCCACGTAAAAAACATGAAACGTGTTAGTTTAGCACAGACCAATCGCAAAATTTGGCGTAACTTTGGCACCTTCGTAATCGCTAACCCTAGCAGTCTATATAAAAAATCGCCGCACAGCCAGTACCCGTCAGGACACATTTGATTCGTCAGAGCCAGAGCTTGGGGTAAGATCGGTGAACTGGCTCTTGTTAGCACAAACTGAAGAAATCGACAAATATCAAAAAGTTGAACAACGCAACGACGAAAAGTAGCGCGCCGACGACCACAACAAGCACCACCAAAACGAAACTATACCCCAACAAAAACTCCTACATCACATTAAAATCAAATTTGCGGCGAGGGGTCCTCTTCGAAATCGTCTTCGAGGAGCGGAGGCGGGATGGAGGCGACGTCGAAGCCCTCGGCTAGGTCGTACCTCTCGTCGTCCTCCTTCTCCATGCGGAAAATATCCGAGCCCGACTGGGAGTCCCCGTCGGGTAAGTACCCCTCTTCTTCGATATTCTCGGAGTACTGCAGCAACGGACTGCCGTCGCGCGCGTCGTCGTACTGATAGTACTCCCCAGCGTCGTCGCCCGCGTAGTAGTAGTCCTCGACGCTGTGGTGCTCCTTCTCCTTCTGGCGACGCGTCTGACTCTGCCGTCTCCGTCGGTACCCGCGACGATCCCGATCAGACTTACTCTTAGGACTCTCGACTGAACTAGTGGAGTCGTTCTCGCTCGGAGGACTCTTGGCGTGGAAGAGACTCTTCGAAATGGGTTTCTTGTGACTGCGGGTCAGCGGTACCGTCGCCGTCTTACTAATCGGAATAGGACTAGTACTGGCGAGAGGGGTCGACTCAGAACTCAAACTACTAGAGTAGTACGGCGAACACTTGGATAGTTTGAGCGGGACTTTAACCGGGCGTTCGGTGCTCCTAGTACTCGGCTGGTGGTACTTTTGTTTGTCTTTGTCGTACCGCTGCGTATGCACCGTTTTTTGCTCAATCGAACTACTACTCTTCTCCGTGTCGGACTGCGGCTGCAACGGAATCACTATAGGTCTCTCCGTGGACTTAGTGAAGTACTTTCCGTCGCCCCGACTCGCTAACGCACAAGTCAGTTGTGCTAGATCCTCCGACGGGATGTTCTTAGGGCTCGGCATACCTTTATGGTCAAGCGGAGTCCCCAATTCCCCTTCGTCCACACTCGACCCGAGTCGGGTCACGCTTTGACGCTCATTCAGACTCGTCGGGAAGAATTGCTGAGGCACCAGTGTCTTGGAAGTGTCGGAACTAGACCATTCCGAAATCGTCGGGATTAAATCAGTCAAAGTACTATCACCCGACGTAGTCGAAGACAATTTTTGAAACTGTAAACTAGTACTTTGTTGTTGCTTACTATTACTACTCGACCACTCGGAAATACTCTGCGCGATGTCCGTCAACGAATTATCGTCGCTCTTTAACCCCGAACTACTCTTAGTAGTACCGCTGTTACTCGACAAGTTTTGGAACTTAACGGTATTGGTACTATTCGACCACTCAGACAGACTCAGCGCTATCGACGTGTCTTCCGAATGCGAACTGTGGGTGCACTTCGTCGGCTTAAAAGCATACCGCACAGTACCGTCTTCGAGATTAGTCGCCATAGAACTAGTACAGTCCTCTTCCGAGTACGAACTGTGTGACCCTTTTTGAGATTGAGGTTTCAGTTCGGCTTTCGGGGGTCCACCAGAGTGCGAAAGCGAGTGAGAGTGTGAGTGCGAGTGCGACGAGTCATCCGAAGTAGTACTGCGTCGCATGACCGTCGGCGGCCGCAACTCATTCCTCGAACTATCAATAGTATCCGTGAACACGTCGTCGTTCAAATTAGAAATATTCAAATCTTCGTCGGAGTTGGAATCCTGCGACTTCTTATCCAGTACTATCTTAATCCCGCTGACCCCCACACTCAAACTCTCCGAAATACTCTCACTGATGTGCTCCGTAGCCACGTTTTCGTACGTGTGGGTCTTCTCACCTTCCAGTTCCGAGGTTTTGTTGTCGTCTGAGTTTGAATCGTTGTCGTAAGTACTGACGGTACTCGAGTCGATCGTGACCTTGCACGCTTCTTCCGGCGGCGTCATGTAGTACGTTTCTACGTCGCCTACTATGGGTGGTTCAACGACGCTTGAAGGGGGACTGGGCCATTGTTCCGAGTCCTGGCTTTTGATTGACCCTCTCAAACCAAATACTTTAGGGATGTTGGTACGCGGCGGCTGGAACACTTGCGTCGTCAATTGCGACGTATCCGAACTAGGAATTTCGTGCATAGCCAAAAGCGTGCCTTTGTCTTGCTGTGGAATCTCAGGTAGCGGCCACTCCTCGCTCTCCTGGCTACTCGACCCATTTTTCCTGTTGTTTTCAATGGGTTCAAAACACTCTTCGTCGATAATCGTATCGTCTGACCCTTGCCTCTTCAATTTTAACCCTCGCTCGGAAATAATCTCTATGTCGTCGATCGACAACTCGGCCATCTCCGCTGAAGTTCGTCTGTCGTCGGAAATCTGCCGCTGCAACAAACTACTAATCGGGGTACGATCGAAACTGGGGGCATCCCTCGGACTCGGTAGTTTTTCATTGGTTGGAGTCTTCTTGTCTTCGGAAACATGTGCATGACTGGGTGGGTCCGAGCTCAGACTCACTTGCGGGTTACTCGACGCCATGGACTCATCATTTAAACTATCACTCTGAGTACTACCCTTGGTGGAATCCTCCTCCAGGCTCGACTTTTCTGAGTTCGTGCTGCGCTCGGATATGCGCGACAAAGTCCGCGATAGGAACGCGCCCCCGTAGTTGGCCAGGACTTCCCCGGACCCTAGCGTAAGAGTCAACCCGCCGATGCTCGGGTAGCCGAAATTCGACTGAAAATGGGCTAAATCGTCGGGTAGTTCCGTGTCGTCACGAGTTGGGGTCACGTCACTGTCGGATTTGTAGCAGACGTCGGTTAAAGGCGCAAAGTCGGAGGCGTCCCGAGCCAAGAAATACTCTTGTTTGTCGGAATCCTGGTCCGGCGGGAGCAACCCATCGTCGAAACTCTCCGACCCGGAACTATCCAGAGGGAAGGGTCGCCACGTGGAACTAAGTTCCCGTGGGATGTCAGCCGACTTTCCTAGTCTCGTGGCGGCACCAAGACTACCCGAACTAGACTCGGTGTCTAGCGAATTTCGCGACTCCAACGACAGTCGGTCGAACGAATGCAAACTTTTGCCGTTCTTTGGTTCGTCCAGGGACGACAAGCTGCTCTTGTCACCCGAAGACAACTTCTTCGACAGCTTCTGGTGCAAGCGTTGACTCAACTCCGACTCCGTTGACCACTTTTCCTCGAAGGGGTAGGGCGTCTTCTTGTACTTAACCCCGTTGCTTTCCTCCTGCACCGGAGTCAGGTCTTTGGGTATATCGTGACCTTCATCTGAGCTCGATTCCTCGTACCGATTCCGTGAGGACTCTTCGTCGATGGTGAAAGCACGTCCCAGGACGCAGATCCTCGGGCTTCGCGGACTGCGCGGACTCCTCGGAGGTTCAGACGACTCCGGCGAGTCCTTCTCGAGCGCCTCTTTACTCGAGAACTTCTCAATAGTTTGGCTGTACCCAATGGCTAGCCCGATTGCGCAGCTAACGCTAGACTCATCAGTCGTCTCTTTGATGTTACCAGGACTCGGGTCCTTCTCCCCGCTTGTCCACGACCCCGTGGTATCACTAGACCTCGACTGGTCCGAGCTACGTTTCAGCAAATCCAACTTGCTGTGTTTGATCACCGCACTTAGAAGGTTCGCGGTGTCCCCGGATTCGGGCGCTTTCGCTTGACCAATCGGACTCTTGGCTTCTTGTTCTTTCTCTGGTGTATCAATCGGAGCTTGGTCGTAGTCGAACGATTCTTCGGCACCGTAGAACTCGTCGCACTCCACGGTCACCCAAGACCCGGTGTCTTCAGACCGGCTGCGTTCGATACTCAGTTTGAGTAAAGCGTCTCTGTGGCTGTCGCTAACCGCCAGAAGGTTCGTGTCGACTTCGCACTTCAAGTCGCTCACTTCAGTCAAAGATTCGTCCTCGCTGGTGATCCGCACCATGTTCTCTGGTATCTCTTTGACAGGAGGGGTTGCCGCCAGTTTGCGCTTCTCGAGTTTCTTGCGCAGGAATTTCGACACGGTCTCAGACGCTTTCTGCATTTCGGCTATCAATTGAGCGTCTTGTTCCGATCGATGGGACGAATCGCCCGAATCGTCTATGTATTTAATATCCAACGAATTCCCGAGACTCGTCTTCTGGTCCAAACTTTGCGAATCCGACGAACTCTTCGTCTCGATTTTGCCCAAATCCGGCGGTTTGATGGTCCGTTCTTCAAAAAAATCATCGCTTTTTTGGATCACTTGGATGTTGTCGAGTTTGCTGGTAGTGCGGTCTGGCCCGTCTACCGACAACCACACGTCTAGACTGGTCCCTTCCAAAATGATTTTCTCCTGGGGTTCGTCGACGTCCTGGTCGGTACTTTCTTTGTGTACCTCGGCTTTCACGACTTCTTGTACTAAAGCACCTTCGGGCGAAATTTCGTCTTTCATGTTGTTGATGGTCTCCGCTTTGAAGTCGAAAGTAATCACTTCGTCTTCCTTGGGCCTGTTGTCTAAATCCAGACTTTTCCCCAGTCGTTGCACCGGTTTTTCGTCGAAGTACTCGTCGTCGTTCGTCAGGTTCAACTCCAAGCTCTTCGTCAACTTCTTGTCCATCTTCTTGTCGAGTTTCTTCGGCGACTTGGTGATGATGATGGCCTCCTCTAGCGAGACTTTGTTGTTTTCGATGGTATTGATGCTGATTTCGAGCTTGCCGTGGCGTTCACGCACCATTTCTTCCACTTGGGGGAACACCGGCAGCACGTCCTTCACCGGACTCTTGAGGGTCTTGGTTTGCTTGATCGCCGTTTCGTACAACATCTGCTGCTTCTCCTTCCGTTTGGCTATATCAGTGTCGCTGTCATCCTGCGACTTGGACCGTTCCTTACTGGAAACCCTCTTCAACTCGAGTTTCTCCAAACTCTTTGCTTTCTCTTTCGGGAGTACTTTGCGCCCGGGCTCCCCTTCCTGGCTCTTCGTCCTTTTAATCTCCATAGGTCTTTCCACCGAATTCTCGTCCACACTCTCGATAGTCACCTTTGAACTTATCACCTTCGGAGAACCCTTATTAGCTAAAGACGATTTGGGGGCCGGTTTCGGTGGTTTCGTTGCCGCCTTAGGAGCTTTTTCCCTTGGAGACGTCTTCGGAGCGTCCTTCAAGGAAGTAGTACGTTGCGCTGGTATGGGTTTACCTTTGACCAACTTGTGCGGAGGGGTTTTGGGTGACACCTTCGGGGATTTCTTGGATTTGGTGACGTCGGGGACGATCTGGTCGCGCTCTTTCGGCACGGGTTTGAGTCGCTCGGGTTTAGGGATGGTCCGTTTCTTTTCGACTTTTTCCTCACAGGATTCCGCTTTCTTAACTTCCTTTTCTTCGACTGGAGACGGTTTCACGGGTTCGGGTGCCACGATTTCGTCGACTTGAGTGCGAGTACTCTCTTCTTCTACTGTGTCGTCCTTGCTCGAGAACGCGTTGAGTGGTGGAAGACGATTCACGGGGATGACGGGAGCGTCTAAACTTTTGGCGCGTCGACCGGGAAGAGGTGATTCAGTGGCTTGTTGTTTCTGGAGTAACGTGAAGGCGGAACCTTCCGATAGGTTCAGTCGGGCGTGCGCAAAGAGCAGCGGGCTTTGACCCTTTTTGCGCACCGACGGTGACATTATCTCCGTAATCTTCGTTTTGGGTGGTACCTTCAAGTTCTTGATGTCGTTCTCGATCTCCGCTTGCAGTAACAATTTCTCTTTTTCTCGCTCATCATCTAGATTTACTTCAGTCTTGTCTAAATCCTCTTGTACTGTGTCGTTTAACGACTTATCCGCGTCTTCCTTCTCCGTTTCTTGCACCGTCGTCAAGCTTTCGGTAGCCGGTTCGGCGAACACCGGCTGCATATCGGACGTTTTCATGTTCAGATCGTCTTCAGAGCTCGGGATGGAGAAGGACCGCTCGGAGATGCGTCTCAATTCGGGTTGGGCGACGTTCGGGTCAAGTCCGTTGTCGTACTGGGACTTGTCGGTTTTTTTGCGGGTTTGGGGTGGTGATCCTTCCACCTCCGTCGACGACATGGTGTACTGCAAGTACTTCCGCTCGGACTCGAACTTCAGTATTGATTCCATCTCTTTACGCATCTGGGGCGGCGAGAACTCCATCCTAGTCGGAGTGGCTTCGGCACTCCCGAAAACGTCGTCCGAATCCAGGGACTCGTCGTCCGAACTGAAGGACGTTATTCTGACTTTGGTTTTCGTGACTTTCCCCTTTTTGCCGGGTTGCATTCTAGGCTTGATTCCGCGTTTGGGTTTAACTTCAGTCTTGGGTTTCTCTTTGGCAACTTTGGCGACTTTTTCTTTCTCGGTTTCCTTTTTCTCGGGCTCGGGTGGTTTGATGATCGGGGGTTCGGGTGGTTTAACAATAACGGGTTTCTCTTTAACAACGTTGAGCAGTTTGGGTTGAGGTTTCAGACTTTCGGTTTTTGAGCTAGTGGGCGAATCGCTTTCGATTTGGCTAAGTTTAGAACTGAGGGCTTCTAGTAGCACCGGGTCGATATGTGTGATGTCTCGCTTCGGGCTCGACATGTGCTGAACAGGCTTCTCGCTTTTGTCTACTTCTAGAGTGACCGGGTCCACTTTAGACAGGTCTATGTTCTGAGTGAACAAAAACGGTTGCTCGGACTCGACGGGTTTAGGTTTCTTTTCTTTTTCTTTCTTCTCTTCCTGCTTTTCAAACACTTGTTTGACTTCTTCTTTAGTGGCTGTGCCGTTCATCACGTGCCGCTTGTGAAGCACATACGGGATATCCTCGCTTTTCGGCGGTAAGTTGATGAAGTCCGACTGCGTTTTGGCACCCAATACTTCGAACTGGCTCTTAGGAACTTCAAATTTCGTCTTCTGACCCTCGATTTCGCGCTTGAGGATGTCAAAGTGGCCGAATTCGGCTGTGGGCATCTCGAAATGGGTACCCTTGTATTTCATGATAGGCGGAGCACTGGGTATTTGCTTGTAAAGATAGTCCTCATCGCTGGACTCCGCCGGGGTGAGGTCGATCGACTTCTGATGCATCAAAAGCATTCGTCTGGTACTCGAATTGAACCTCTGTCGTGCCAAAGAATTCGGGTCCGACTTGGTCCGCTCGATTGGTTGATGGAGAGGCAAAGGTTCGCGGATTTTCCTCGGTTCGATCTCCATAAACACTTGTTTTCGTTTGGTTTCGGCCTTCTTCGCTTTGTCGGAGTTGGGTACTACCCCGAAGCTGTGGTCACACATATCCATGTCGCTACTGTCCTGCAACGACTGTATTTTGTCTTCGTCGAAACTAAAAATGTTGCTTTCCGATTCGGTTGACCTTTGTGTGGCGCTTTGTTGTTTACTTGGCCAGTTCCGGATTTCCGTGGGTACTCCTGCGATGCTCTCGGGCCAAATGTGGGTGGTCTTCTCCTGCTCCACCTTCGTCGACGGCTTATGCGTTCTCGGAACGGTGTTTTGTTCCACCATCCGGTTAACTCGCATGTTTTGTTCGGTCTCGACGTTCTGCAAACTGATCGAGTGCACGTGGGAGACTTCTTTCTTGGGGTAGTCCCCGACGTCGTTCTTCGGCTTCTGCGTCCCGTAGTTCCGCTCGAAGGCGATTTTCCGGTCGTACTCGTGGTGGTAGAACTTCGGTTCGTCGATTTTCGAGTTGGCGTCGTAGTACTCGCTCTTCGATTCCACGCTCGACGTTCTCGATTCGTAACTCTTCGTCTTGCGTCGTTTGCCTTCGTACTCGCTCTTCGACTCGGGACTGGACGTCCTCGACCCGTAACTACTAGCCCGTCCGGCTTTCTTGAGACTTTCGCGACTCGATTTGCCCGTTTTCGTTTCGAAGTAGTCGCTTTTTGATTCTTGGCTGGACGTGCGCGAGGTTAACTTGTAGTTTTTGTAGAACGACCCGTCCGATTTTCGAGGGATTATCTCCCTGGGGAGGTCCCGCGGGTCGTCCATCATGAAGATGTCGTGCTGCACGTCCGAAACGCTCTTGCACTTGTGTCGTTTGTCACCCTCTGAGTCGCTATCGGAAGGTAGGTAGTTGCCAGAGTCCAAGCTGCAGCTCCTCGTGTTCAGCGGTTTCCCTTTCTTGTACTTGTTGTAGTCGCCCGAGGTGCTGTAGTCGTCGTCCGATTTCTCGATGAGTTCGTAGCTGTCGTGCGAGAGGTCGTCCTGCGAGTCCCTCAGGTCGTAGTTGCCCGGGTCCTCCATCGACTCTTGCGAGTAGGTGGTGGTGCCCGGGTAGCTGCTCGAGTACACCTTCTGGTCCGGCATCATGATGTCCTGGTGGATTTCCAGACTGCTGTCCCGCGAGCTCGTGCTGTAGATCGCGTGGTGGTCGTCGTAGCGCGTGATCGGCGACTCCAGCTTCCGGTTCTCGACGCTCTGCGTCTTCTCCGTGGGCGGTTTGGGCGGCTTGACGGCGCGCCGCTTCGCCTGGCCCGAGTCCTCGAAGCTGAAATCGTACAAATCGCGGCAGCTCGCGCTCCTCTGCCACAGCTGGCGCTTGGGCAGCGTCGTCACCGACTTGTACGTGTACTCGGGACTGGTCTGCGTCTGCACCTGATTCGACGGCCTTAAACCTAGATCGTTTTGCGACTGGGTCTGCGAGGGGTAGTTGTTAGTGAACGGCGGCGGGGACGCGTGGTCGAGGGAGCCCTCCGACTTGTGACTAGAGGGCATCCGGACAGCAGTGGTGTGAGTGCGCGTGATACCTGTATCTGCCCTGTGAACTGCTGCGCGGACGGCGACCGGCGAACTGGCATAGGCCGGCTTCTGGTCCGCGTAGGGAGTATGGAGAGGACTCGTAGTCGCAGAAGTTGCCGGAGAGGCCGATTGCGTCGTCAGAGGAGGTGATGGCGAGGTCGTCGTCTGAGCAAGCAGCGTGGTAGGCCGCGTGTCGGGGGCCGAGCTCCAGGACGTAGCTGTGACGCGGTGGCGAGAGGCTAACCTCGTCGTCGGAGAAGCCGGGACCACCACAGCTGCGCCCATCGAGCCCAGCGAAGCCGACAGCTTGGAGGCTTCCACTGCGGAAAGAACACAGCGTTGCGGAAAACGAAAACTGGATCCCGACGGTCGAGCGCGCACGACGGAACAAGCTTAGGTGTACCTACCGCTGAGGTTGCTGTCGGCTAGGGGCAACAGGGGATGTGCGGATATGCTGTTCCCGACTGTACTGGAGTGCATGTTGCTTGCACTTGAATGAGCACTAGAATGCCGGAATGAAGCCGACCTAAACAAGAGAATGAGGAATGAGATTATAACCGAGCTACACATCGAACAGTTAGACTGTCTATACTAAGTTAAGCCTCGTGTGAGTTCTCATGGAGCACAGCCGTTAGCTAGCTTGGTTAAAACAACGAGCCGTTTCTATACGAATCGTACTAACCATGCAGTTGTGGCGCTATAGAAACGACTATTTTGGAAAATACGGTTCTAGTTTCAATCCCCATCCTCCTTCCCTTGACTTGAACGTTACTATAGGTCGGATACAGCATTATGTTGACCAAAAGCTACAACAACCATGCTCCACACGCCACAAAGACGCCTACGTCCGTATCCTTAAATAAAAAAATATGAAGCAAATACTACTACTGGATGTGGAGACGAAAGCCAGACTATGTCCGTACTTACCGATTCTAACCTCAATCTTTTTTACTTCCCGAGCGTAAGCAAAGGAAGTATTGTAATCGAGTCCGTCGGCCGACTCTCTACTTTTACGTTTTCTCGATCTTTCATGACCCCTAGAAGACGAAGAAATAGGTTTCCCATTTCCGTCTATCTGTCCGTCTGTCCGTCCGTCTGTCTGTCCGTCTGCCGTCCCGGATTTTTATTAGACAGATAATCTCCGAAAGTACTCGACCGATTGTTGTGAAATTTTGTACTTATATTAAGAATATCATGTAGATGGTAAAACGCTAACCAAAATTTGTCTAATCATCCCCACCACTAATGCGATGACGTCACTTCAAAATTGTACATAGTAAATGGGTTTTCAATTGTATAAAATAACATAGTCCTACACATGTAGTTTACAACTCTGAATCGACTTTTCACCCGAAACGTCCAGATTTTTGGAAAAAAAATCAAAATTATAAAACAACATTTTGAAATTTAATTTTTAATCTGCTAACCAGAATGCTTTGAAATGTTGCAGATGTTTTGCCCTTTTATGCCTTTTTTTCAGTCTTTTTAAAAGGCTTTTATGTCGATTTATGTTTTTTTGTGCCCTTTTTTACTTCCCGAGCGTAAGCAAAGGAAGTATTGTAATCGAGTCCGTCGGCCGACTCTCTACTTTTACGTTTTCTCGATCTTTCATGACCCCTAGAAGACGAAGAAATAGGTCTCCCATTTCCGTCTGTCTGTCCGTCTGTCCGTCTGTCCGTCTGTCCGTCCGTCTGTCCGTCTGTTGTCACGGATTTTTATTAGACAGATAATCTCCGAAAGTACTCGACCGATTGTTGTGAAATTTTGTACTTATATTAAGAATATCATGTAGATGGTAAAACGCTAACCAAAATTTGTCTAATCATCCCCACCACTAATGCGATGACGTCACTTCAAAATTGCACATAGTAAATGGGTTTTCAATTGTATAAAATAACATAGTCCTACACATGTAGTTTACAACTCTGAATCGACTTTTCACCCGAAACGTCCAGATTTTTGGAAAAAAAATCAAAATTATAAAACAACATTTTGAAATTTAATTTTTAATCTGCTAACCAGAATGCTTTGAAATGTTGCAGATGTTTTAAGGCTATAAAGAGCATAATAAATTTTTAGTCAAAAAATATTTGCTTATCCCCTCCAAAAACTTGATGACGTCAGCTCAAAAGTTTGTGGAATAAATCATATCTAAAATGTACAAAATATGATGAGTCTGTACTTGTGATCTATCACTCCATTCATATTTTTTGGATTTGCATATACAGGGTGACTCAAAAAAATTAATGAATGCGTAAATTTATTTTACTGATTTACTCAGAAACTACAAAACCGAATGCTTTGAAATCTTGCAGATGTTTTAAGGTTATAAAGAGCATAATAAATGTTTAGTCAAAATATATTTGCTTATCCCCTCCAAAAAATTGATGACGTCAGCTCGAAAGTTTGCCGAATAAATCCTATCTAAACTGTAAAAATATGATGAGTCTGTACTTGTAATTTATCACTCCATTCATATTTTTTGGATTTGCATATACAGGGTGACTCAAAAAAATTAATGAATGCGTAAATATATTTTATTGATTTAATCAGGAACTACAAAACCGAATGCTCTGAAATCTTGCAGATGTTTTAAGGTCATAAAGAGCATAATAAATGTTTAGTCAAAATATATTTGCTTATCCCCTCCAAAAACTTGATGACGTCAGCTCGAAAGTTTGCCGAATAAATCATATCTAAAATCTACAAAATATGATGAGTCTGTACTTGTCATTTATCATTCCATTCATATTTTTTGGATTTGCATATACAGAGTGACTCAAAAAAATTAATGAATGCGTAAATATATTTTATTGATTTAATCAGGAACTACAAAACGGAATGCTCTGACATCTTGCAGATGTTTTAAGGTTATAAAGAGCATAATAAATGTTTAATCAAAATATATTTGCTTATCCCCTCCAAAAACTTGATGACGTCAGCTCGAAAATTTGCCGAATAAATCATATCTAAAATGTACAAAATATGATCAGTCTGTACTTGTGATCTATCACTCTATTCATATTTTTTGGATTTGCATATACAGGGTGATTCAAGAAAATATTTGAAAGCGTAAATTTATTTTACTGATTTACTCAGGAACTACAAAACCGAATGCTTCGAAATCTTGAAGACATTTTAAAATTATCATAAGCATGGTAAATTTTTGATCAAAATGTATTTGGTCGTCCCCCCTAAAAAATTTATGACGTCACCACAAAATTTTGCTGAATAAATCCTATCTAAAATGTACAAAATATGGTGAGTCTCTTCTTGTGATTTATCATTCCATTCAAATTTTTTCGATTTGCATATACAGGGTGACTCAAAAAAATTAATGAATGCGTAAATTTATTTTATTGATTTAATCAGGAACTACAAAACCAAATGCTTTGAAATCTTGCAGATGTTTTAAGGTTATAAAGAGCATAATAAATTTTTAGTCAAAATATATTTGGTTATCTTCTACAAAAAACTGATGACGTCAGCTCAAAAGTTTGCCGAATAAATCGTATCTAAATTGTACAAAATATGATGAGTCTGTACTTGTGATTTATCATTCCATTCATATTTTTGGATTTGCATATGCAGGGTGACTCAAAAAAATTAATGAAGGCGTGAATTTATTTTATCGATTTAATCAGGAATTACAAAACCGAATGCTTTGAAATCTTGGGAATATTTTAAAGTTATTATAAGCATGGTAAACTTTTGTTCAAAATGTATTTGTTCATCCCTCCTAAAAAAATTGATGACGTCACCCTTAAATTTTGCTGAATAAATCCTATCTAAAATGCAAAAAATATGATGAGTTTGTACTTGTGATATATCATTCCATTCATATTTTTTAGATTTTCTTAAGAGGTGGTTCAAAAAAAGGCGCCGTATACCTGAGTAAATTGTTTCGTTATTTTATTGATTATAAGAAATCAATATTCAAAACGACCCAATTCATTTTCCCGAAAATTTGGGAATACAATAATTTTATTCTTAGTATTACACTACATCTATCCCAACTGATATACGTGTCCTTGCAAAAATGTTGATGACGTCATCACATTTTTTTTTTAAATTCCCACTACAAAAATGTAATGAGAAAAAAAACACAATAGGCATGCAGTCGTCAAGTTTCCGACAGCGAGGGAAGTACTGTCTAAACTCTTTAGACCAATTTTTTTCACTTTTTTTTGTTGACTTTGTCAGGTTTTCTGGAACAATTTTTTTGGTCGTCCTTGTTTTGTCGTTTTTTTGACGCTGTTTTGTTGCCTGCTTTTTGTTCTCCTTTTTGTTTTTACCCGTTTCCCCCTTTTTTTTAGTCGCATTTTTTGTGTTTTTTATCACCTTTTTTGTCTTTTTTGTCACCTTTTTTCGCCTTTTTTGTCTTTCTTCTATGCCTGTTTTTTTTATTGCTTTTTCCCACATTTTTCGGTTTTATTTTCGTAGTTTTTTGTTGTCTTTTTTGTAGCCCTTTTTTTTTCTCTTTTTTTTTGTTGCCTTTTGTTGGCGCTTTATGGTGTTTTTTTCGCCTTTTTTTGTCTCCGTTTTCCTCCTTTGTTCTCCTTCTTTTCCTTTTAAGTCTGCTTTTTTCAGTCTTTTTAGAAGGGTTTTTTTTGTCGATTTTTTGTGTCCCTTTTTTGTGGATTTGGTTATATTTTCTGGACAATTTTTTTGCTTTTTTTTGTTTTTTTTTAAGCACCCTTTCTGTTGCATGATTTTTATCCTTTTTTTTCCGTGTCCCCCCTTTTTTTAATCGAATTTCTTTGTATTTTTGTCGCCTTCTTTCGCCTCTTTTTTGACCTTTTTTTGTCGTATTTTTCCTTTTTTTGCATTTTTTTCCTTGCTTCTTTTTGTTCTCCTTTTTAATCGTCGTAATTTTTTCCTGGTTTTTTGCTTTTTTGTTCGCCTTTTTACACATCTTTCGATTTTATTTTTCTAGTTTTTCGTGGTCCTTTTTTTCGTTTTTCTTTGTTGCCTTTTTTTCTGGTTACTTTTTTATGTAGCTTTTTTGTCGCCTTTTTTGTTCCCGTTTTTTCCCCTTTGTTGTCCTTTTGTCCTTTTATGCCTATTTTCAGACATTAGAAGGGTTCTTTCTCGGTTTTTGTTTTCTTTTTGTCTTTTTTTGTTGCCTGACTTTTGTCCTTTTTTGTTTTTTCTCCTGTTCCCCTTCACCCTATTTTACTGCATTTCTTTGTATTTTCTATTATTTGTTGCCTATTTTCGTTATTTGTCCTCATTATGTCTATTTTTCACATTTTTCGATTTTATTTTTGTAGTTTTTTTGTCGTCTTTTTGTAGCCCTTTTTTCTCGTTTTTTGTGTTTTTTTGTCCCCTTTTTTACTTCCCGAGCGTAAGCAAAGGAAGTATTGTAATCGAGTCCGTCGGCCGACTCTCTACTTTTACGTTTTCTCGATCTTTCATGACCCCTAGAAGACGAAGAAATAGGTCTCCCATTTCCCTCTGTCTGTCCGTCTGTCCGTCCGTCTGTCCCTCCGTCTGTCCGTCTGCCGTCCCGGATTTTTATTAGACAGATAATCTCCGAAAGTACTCGACCGATTGTTGTGAAATTTTGTACTTATATTAAGAATATCATGTAGATGGTAAAACGCTAACCAAAATTTGTCTAATCATCCCCACCACTAATGCGATGACGTCACTTCAAAATTGCACATAGTAAATGGGTTTTCAATTGTATAAAATAACATAGTCCTACACATGTAGTTTACAACTCTGAATCGACTTTTCACCCGAAACGTCCAGATTTTTGGAAAAAAAATCAAAATTATAAAACAACATTTTGAAATTTAATTTTTAATCTGCTAACCAGAATGCTTTGAAATGTTGCAGATGTTTTAAGGCTATAAAGAGCATCATAAATCTTTAGTCAAAAAATATTTGCTTATCCCCTCCAAAAACTTGATGACGTCAGCTCAAAAGTTTGTGGAATAAATCATATCTAAAATGTACAAAATATGATGAGTCTGTACTTGCGATCTATCCCTCCATTCATATTTTTTGGATTTGCATATACAGGGTGACTCAAAAAAATTAATGAGTGCGTAAATATATTTTATTGATTTAATCAGGAACTACAAAACCGAATGCTCTGAAATCGTGCAGATGTTTTAAGGTCATAAAGAGCATAATAAATGTTTAGCCAAAATATATTTGCTTATCCCCTCCAAAAACTTGATGACGTCAGCTCGAAAGTTTGCCGAATAAATCATATCTAAAATGTACAAAATATGATGAGCCTGTACTTGTCATTTATCACTCCATTCATATTTTTTGGATTTGCATATACAGAGTGACTCAAAAAAATTAATGAATGCGTAAATATATTTTATTGATTTAATCAGGAACTACAAAACGGAATGCTCTGACATCTTGCAGATGTTTTAAGGTTATAAAGAGCATAATAAATGTTTAGTCAAAATATATTTGCTTATCCCCTCCAAAAACTTGATGACGTCAGCTCGAAAATTTGCCGAATAAATCATATCTAAAATGTACAAAATATGATCAGTCTGTACTTGTGATCTATCACTCCATTCATATTTTTTGGATTTGCATATACAGGGTGATTCAAGAAAATAAATGAAAGCGTAAATTTATTTTACTGATTTACTCAGGAACTACAAAACCGAATGCTTCGAAATCTTGAAGACATTTTAAAATTATCATAAGCATGGTAAATTTTTGATCAAAACGTATTCGGTCGTCCCCCCTAAAAAATTTATGATGTCACCACAAAATTTTGCTGAATAAATCCTATCTAAAATGTACAAAATATGGTGAGTCTCTTCTTGTGATTTATCATTCCATTCAAATTTTTTCGATTTGCATATACAGGGTGACTCAAAAAAATTAGTGAATGCGTAAATTTATTTTATTGATTTAATCAGGAACTACAAAACCGAATGCTTTGAAATCTTGCAGATGTTTTAAGGTCATAAAGAGCATAATAAATTTTTAGTCAAAATATATTTGGTTATCTTCTACAAAAAACTGATGACGTCAGCTCAAAAGTTTGCCGAATAAATCGTATCTAAAATGTACAAAATATGATGAGTCTGTACTTGTGATTTATCATTCCATTCATATTTTTGGATCTGCATATGCAGGGTGACTCAAAAAAATTAATGAAGGCGTGAATTTATTTTATCGATTTAATCAGGAATTACAAAACCGAATGCTTTGAAATCTTGGGAATATTTTAAAGTTATTATAAGCATGGTAAACTTTTGTTCAAAATGTATTTGTTCATCCCTCCTAAAAAAATTGATGACGTCACCCTTAAATTTTGCTGAATAAATCCTATCTAAAATGCAAAAAATATGATGAGTTTGTACTTGTGATTTATCATTCCATTCATATTTTTTAGATTTTCTTGAGAGGTGGTTCAAAAAAATTAATGAAGTCAATTAATTTTATTGATTAAATTAAAGGCAACACTTATTATTAGTATTACACCCCAACCAACCCAATTTGGTAGACACAAAATTTGTTAAAGGAAAAACTCGGTTGAAACAAGAGGGTAGCACGCTTATTTACATCGACTTTAACATTACAGACCTGCATTTGTTTTATGCGCTCACTTGGTTCCGCGAATGTGAAATAGACATGTTTATAATCAACCAATTGTGAATTTCACCGTCAAGAATTAAAATAAAACCCAATGTTTTATATAATAAGCGGAAGTCGAAGCAATAAAACCGATGGTCGTTTTGTTTACAGTTTCTCTGTTTGACTCTCACGTATGCTGTTACGCTTGTCATCTTAAATTAAGAATGTTTATACATACACGATTTTCAGTTGCCTCTGATACGTATACGTGAGTAAATTGTTTCGTTATTTTATTGATTATTACAAATCAATATTCAAAACGACCCAATTCATTTTCCCGAAAATTTGAGAATATAATAATTTTATTCTTAGTATTACACTACATCTATCCCAACTGATATACGTGTCCTTGCAAAAATGTTGATGACGTCATCGCAATTTTTTTTTCGAGTAAAACCTCGATTAATCCGAGTAATTCGACCGCTCCCCCGACACAGTCTGGCCCTCCAATCTCGTCAACAAGCCGCTCATTACATGATTTACTTATAAACCTGGGCCATATCGTCACACTACGTGTTCAAAATTCATGATCATTTCCAAAATAATCATGCAATTTGAAGCTCGCCCTTACCTTTGGAATGTCTGTCGTTTCACGTAGTTATCCCTAACAAACTCGACAATCTGTTTCTGCGTTTTCCCGCTATACCTAAAACGCCACCCTATTAGCACCTCCCGGCGCGCCACTCGACCCTTACCTAAACGAGCTGCCCCTCGACAGCACCCTCGTCCTGTGCCGGGGCGCCGCCTTCACCGACGAACACCGGAAAAAGCCGTGGTTCTCGACGCACTTCTTCCAGAAGTTCTTGCACTCGTTCCTGCCCTCGAAGAAGAACTCCACCGTGTCCTTGTAATAACCCTGGAACGCCCCACTTTAAAAACCCGAACGAACGCCCGATCCCGACTCACGTAACCCTCCGGGTGCAGCTTGATGAGGAAGCGCTTCCGCTTGAACGAGATCTTCCGGATCTTCGCCCAGGAGAAGGTGTTGATTTTGGTGTAGTTCTGGAACACGATTATGCCCATGTGGGCCACAGCCAGGTTGAGCGGGACGTTCTCGTGGTCCTTCGCCGCGTGCATCTTGATGCCGTACAGCTCGCACCGGCGGGCCGTTTCGAGGAGGTTGAGGTCGGCCTCGGCCGGCGATTGCCCTCTGAAATAATAATAGCACCAATAACAGCAACTCCATCTGTTCAGTAAACAACGTATAGTACGAGCATGAATACCATGCATGAGCACGTAAATTCATTGCGCATCGTGCGTTCGATCCCATCCAAGCCTGAATTCACACCAATCCAGCCGCACCTGCTAGAATATTAAAAACCCCTTACGAGTGTTTTTTGTGGTTTTCCATGATCTTCCGCTCCATCTCCTGGTCCTGCTGCGGCACGAACTTATAGCTCGACAAGTACGTGTGGTCGGGGTAGTCCTCCGAGACGTAGTCCCCGCACTCCGCCTGCACGATGTAGCTCGCCATCAAAGCCGCCGTGTTCTCGTTGCACTGCATGAGTCCCTGCGCCAGGTCCCGCTTGACCTGCAGGCAGAAGAGGTATCGCGTGAACTCCTCCTCGAGCTGGCCGGGGTCGGGGGTGTAGAACTTGACGCAGAAGTAGAGCAGGGGGTCGACGAGCGAGAGGCCCAGCTGGCGCGAGATGGGTTTCTGCAGGTCCAGCCAGTACCTGGTGCCGCCGGCGTCCGTGTATTCGAGTCCGAAGTAGTCGGCCTCGAGCAAGTGGAGTTGCTTGCAGACCTGGTCGAAGAGGACGCGGCCCGTCGCTTTCGCCTGCAATGTCGTAAAATAAGATACGACCGAGTCGGAGCCCTGTCGAGCGCCGGGCTGTATTTTTAGGCCGGTTCTCAAAGGGAGCATGAAATTCGCTAACGCGCGGGTATGTGATGGTCGGGTTGCGTTTTTACCGCTGCAAATCGCATGGGTGGAGGCGAAGCGGCCGGAATTATTTATGGGACCGCTTTGGAGGGAAATGATAAGGAGCTTTCCTCGAGGATGAAGGGGGTAGTGTTTTTGCGCGAGTTTGAATGGAATATATAATTAGAGGAAAATGCAAAAAAAAAAAAATGTTTATTAGTGCAACTAATAAAGAAAAAACTTGAGAAATTCAGATGTGGCCGCTGGAAACTGATTTAAAGTTAGCGGAACTGTCATGATCGTAATACAAATACAATGCGGTAAATTTAATGTGAAACAAAGAAAAAAATTGGTTTTATATTTTTAAAAAAGACAATTGGGACTCCCGAGAAGGTTTCACATTATTAAAAAAAAATATATTTGGAGCCCCCGAGAAGGTTTTACATTTGGCGCCCCCGAGAAGGTTTTACATTTTTAAAAATGACAGTTGGGACCCCCGAGAAGGTTTCACATTGTTAAAAAAAATACAGTTGGCGGCCCCGAGAAGGTTTTACATTTTTGAAAATGACACTTGGGTGTCTCTAGAAGGTTTCACATTATTAAAAAAAAATACATTGAGCGCCCCCGAGAAGGTTTTACATTTTTAAAAATGACACTTGGGACCCCCGAGAAGGTTTCACATTGTTAAAAAAAATACATTTCGCACCCCCGAGAAGGTTTCACATTGTTAAAAAAAATACATTGGGTGCCCCCGAGAAAGTTTTACAATTTTAAAAATGACATTTGGGAGTCCCAAGAAGGTTTCACATTGTTAAAAAAATAGATTTGACGCCACCGTGAAGGTTTTACATTTTTAAAAATGACGATTGGGATCCCCGAGAAGGTTTCACATTGTTAAAAAAAATACATTTGGCGTCCCCAAGAAGGTTTCACATTTTTAAAAAATACATTTGAGACCCCGAGAACCTCCGAGAAGGTTTTCCATTTTTAAAAAAGACAGTTGAGAGTCCTGAGAAGGTTAAAAGAAACTGATATCAAGAAATTGAAAAATCGAAAAGCTGAAAAATTAATAATAAAAATCGGATAATTGTAAAGTTGACAAATTACGAAATTTAGAATTTAAAAAGTAGCTAAAAATGGAAAAATCGTAAAAATAAAAAAATTAAAAATAAAGAAATTGAAAAATCAAAAAAATGAAAAATCTCAATTGAAAATTAAAAACTTGAACAAACGAAAAAAAAAAATTCTAAGATTGCAAAATCAAAAAACTAGTTAACAAAAAAAGTGACAAATCAATCAATCGAAAAATAAGGAAAAATTAAAAAAATAAAAATTGGTAAAATAAAAAAATTGAAAAGTTTTGAAAGTGAAAAAACCAAAAATTTTACATTGTAAATTAAAAAATTTTACATTTGTAAAATCGAAAAATACAAAATTGTAAAACTGATAAATCAAAAAAATGAAAAGTTAAAAATCAGGAAAAATTAAAAACCGCAAAAATGAAAAAATTGTAAAATTAAAAAATTAAAAATAAAGAAATTGAAAAATCTCATAATTGAAAATCAAAAACTTGAACAAACGAAAAAGAAAAGTTCTAAGATTGCAAAATCGAAGAACTAGTTAACAAAAAAAGTGACAAATCACTCAATCGAAAAATAAGGAAAAATTAAAAAATTAAAAACTGGTAAAATCAAAAAATTTTACATTAAAAAATTAAAAATGAAGAAATTGAAAAATCGAAAAAATGAAAAATCTCATAATTGAAAATCAAAAATTTGAACAAACGAAAAAAAATCTAAGACTGCAAAATCGAAAAACTGTGACAAATAATAAATCCAAAATTCTAAAAATTAAAAAATTAAAAATTATAAAAATCAAAAATTGAAAAACAGAAAAACTGAAAAATTCAAGTTTTAGAACTGAAAAAACCAAAAATTTTAAATTCCAAAATAAAAAAATTTATATTTGTAAAATCTGAAAATACAAAATTGTAAGACTGAAAAATCAAAAAATTGAAAAGTGAAAAATCAGAAAAATCAAAAATCGCAAAAAACAGATGGATACACTAAAAAATCGATGAACTGAAAAATAGTATATTCCAAGAATTGAAGATCGAAAAATCAAAGAATTGAAAAAAATCGAACAATTGCAAAATTGAAGAATCAAAATATTGACAAATCGAAAATTTGAAGAAGTGGAAAATTACAACAACGAAATATCGAAAAGTTGAAAGTAAAATTTTAAAATCGCAAAATCGTTAAATTGAAACATGGAAACAGCGTAAAATAAACAATCGACAAATAGGAAAAACGAAAAACGGAAAATTTGAAAACCTCAAAAAGATGAAAAAACGAGACATTTTAAAATCGACGAATTGTAAAACTGAATTATTCTATAACCAAAAAATTGAAAAACTGAAGAATCGAAGAAGTGAATGTTTTTTTAACAATGTGAGTTAAAAAAAACATTCGGCGCTCCCGAGGTTTTACGTTTTCAAAAATGACAGTTGGAAGTTTCGAGGTTTCACATTGTTAAAAAAAATACATTTGGTGCCCCCGAGAAGGTTTCACGTTTCTAAAAATGACAGTTGGGACTCCCGAGAAGGTTTTACATTTTTTTAAAAGACAGTTGGGACCCCCGAGAAGGTTTCAAATTAAAAAATGGAATTTGAGGCCTCCGAGAAGGTTTTTCATTAAAAAAAAAGACAGTTGGGACCCCCGAAAAGGTTCAAGAGAGATTGAGATCAAGAAATTAAAAAATCGAAAAGCAAAAAATTAAAGCATGGAAGAATTGAAAAACAAAATCGTAAATTGAAAAATTAAAAATCGGATAATTGTAAAATTGACAAACTACGGAATCTAAAATTTAAAAATTAGCTAAAAATGGAAAAATCGTAAAATTAAAAAATTAAAAATGAAGAAAATGAAAAATCTAAAACAAAAAATCTCATAATTGAAAATACAAAATTTGAACAAACGCAACAAGAAAAATTCTAAAATTGCAAAATCGAAAAACTAGTTAACAAAAAGTGACAAATCAATCAATCGAAAAATAGGGAAAAATTAAAAAATTAAAAATTGGAAAAATCAAAAATTGAGAAACAGAAACACTGAAAAATTGAAAAGTTTTGAAATTGAAAAAAACAAAAATCTTAAATTCTAAAATAAAAAATTTCATATCTGTAAAATGGAACAATACAAAATTGTAAAACTGAAAAATCAAAAAAATGGAAAGTTAAAAATCAGGAGAAATCAAAAACCGCAAAAATGAAAAAATCGTAAAATTAAAAAATTAAAAATGAAGAAATTGAAAAATCGAAAAAATGAAAAATCTCAATTGAAAATCAAAAAGTTAAACAAACGAAAAAAAATTCTAAGAGCAAAACCGAAAACTAATGAATAAAAAAAGGGACAAATCCATAAATCCAAAATTCTAAAAGTTAAAAAATTAAAAATTATAAAAACCAAAAATTTAAAAACAAAAAAAAACTGAAAAATGCAAGCTTTAGAACTGAAAAAACCAAAAATTTTAAATTGCACAATTAAAAAAAATATATTTGTAAAATCGAAAAATATAAGATTGTAAGACTGAAAAATAAAAAAATTGAAAAGTTAAAAATCAGAAAAATCAAAAATCCAAACAAACAGATCGATACACTAAAAATCGATGAACTGAAAAATAGTCAGTATATTCCAAGAATTGAAGATCGAAAAATCGAACAATTGAAAAAAAATTCGAACAATTGCAAAATTGAAGAATCAAAATATTGACAAATCGAAAATTTGGAATAGTGGAAAATTACAACAACGAAATATCGAAAAGTTGAAGTATTATAAAATTTTAAAATCGCAAAATCATTGAATTGAAACATGGAAACAGCGTAAAATAAAAAATCGATAAATAGGAAAATCGAAAAACGGAAAATTTGAAAAGTTCAAAAAGATGAAAAAACGAAACATTTAAAAATCGAAGGTAAAACTGAATTATTCTATAACCGAAAAACTGAAAAACTGAAGAATTGAAGAAGTGAAGAACTGAAAATAAAGGAAAATAAAAAAATAAATAAAAAACGGATATTTAAGAAATCTAAAAATGGCAAAATTGTAAGTTTAAAAAATCAAAGAGTTGAAAAACCAAACTACAAAATCAAAATATTGATAAAACAAAAATCGTAAATTGAAAAATTAAAAATTGGCCAATTGTAAAATTGAAAAATTAATCATCAAAAATTTGAACAAACGAAAAAGAAAAATTCCAAGATTGCAAAATCGAAAAACTAATGAAGAAAGAAAGTGACAAATCCATAAATCCAAAAATCCAAAAATTACAAAATTAATCATTGGAAAAATCAAAAACTGAAAAACAGAAAAACCGAAAAATTGAAAAGTTTTAAAACTGCAAAAAAACAAAAATCTTAAATTGCAAAATAAAAAAATTGATATTTGTAAAATCAAAAAATACAAAATTGTAAAATTGAAAAATAAAAAAACAGGAATATCAAAAATCGCAAAAATGAAAACACTAATGAATCGAAAAATTAATAAATCAATAAACTTAAAAAATCGATGAACTAAAAAATAAGAAGAATGAAAGATTGAAAAATCGAAGAATTGAAGAAAAAAATTAAATTCGAAAATTAACTATAGAATTCGAAAAACTGCAAAATTGAAGAATCAAATATTGACAAATCGAAAATTTGAAGAAATGGAAAATCACAACAACGAAATATCGAAAATCTGAAATACTGTAAAATTTTAAAATCGACTAACTGAAAAATCGAAAAGTAGAAAATCAGAAAAATCCAAAAATTAAAAAAACCAAAAATTTTGAAATTCAATAACGAGAAATTGATAAAACTGAAATCGTAAATTGAAAAATTAAAAATCGGATAATTGTAAAATAGACAAATTACGAAA